TTGAAAATTATTTAATGTTATTTTACTTCCTAAAGTATGCATCTCATCTGCATAGAAAGCAAATGATCAAATGTTTTTAGGACTGTACTAAGGGCGGTATATCTACAGTCTTCAAAAAGCCCTGAATGGATGCTCTCATATTTACATCAGGATAGGACCTGAGGTAGGCACAAGAAAGAATTAGAATGAAGGAACTAGCTGGCAGGTAACCATTGGGAACCAGACTATAAATATTGCTAAGTAAAAGATAATGCAAGTGGTAGGAACCTGCTACCAGACATTGCGTAGGTGAGTGGTAAGAACCAGTTACCAGACTTTGCATAGAAAAGTGGTAAGAACCAGCTACTGGACCCTGCATAGGCAGGCTGAGGAGAACTAGCCATAGCTTACCTTGGCTATTTTCTGGAACAGCTACTGACTTTGTTCAGCCACAATGAATATGATTAATGAGAGACATTTCAAACCTGTTTTTATTTCAAGCTGATCCATAATATCTCTTTATTTTAAGTTTATTTATAATATTTACAATTATTTATAACAAAAATATAACATTAGTATAAAATACAACATAATAAAAAACTATGAAAAAACAAATAAATTCTTGGAGTCTGGGAAGCTTCATAGTTTTCTCGCTATTGCTCTTCAGGGCAACGTAGTATACACAAGTGGTTCTACGGCCTTCAATCCATGGTGTTACAGGATCATTAATTGACTAATCGAGGTTCAATATTAAATTTTAAGACTATAGTACTATTTGGTCCTATGTAGTTATATTAATGATACTGAATGCTTAATAGTATAATATATGAAAGTATAAATCTGTTTATCAGAATCCTTAATTATTATTATCTATTGATAGAAGTAATATGTAACAAATTTAATTAAAATTAATTGGTAGAACTGTTCACAATAGAATACTTTTTATGTAAATTCAAACTTGTTTTATGAGATATTAAGATTAATATAATTCTCAAAGTAGTATTTTATTTTAAAAACATAAAATAAAATTAATCTTATCACAGGTATTTGAGTATATTTTGAGATTATTAGTGGTGCTTTAAAATTGAAGATTTTTTCTAAGCTAATTTTTTGTTTTTTTATGACTTACCCCAATATATGACTTCACACACTAACTAATAGAGCAAAGGAAGGAGACAGAATAAATAATGGAATAAGAAGCGAACTTCATAACTACAATTGGAATTAGCAATGAAAAAAAATTAAAAATTGTGCAGCTTTTACCAGGTACTGTATACTGTCCATCGCTAGCTATAAATTTTTCTCATCTTTCTGGTAATTTGTGAATACCATGCCAGAAAAACTGTCGTCATTTTGTGGTGAACCAGTCATCAAGCCATTTTTGTACATTTTCATGAGAAGTGAAGGGCTGTAGAGCAAGTGTGTACCCCATCAATGCAAATAAATAGTAGTCAGGCAGAGCAAAGTCTGGTGAGTAAGCCAGATGCACAAATATCCCAACTGAATGCCTCAATTGTTTTCTTCAGTGGTTTTTCTGTGGGTAGCCATTCATTTATATGAAGCGAAATCATTTTGTGTAGTCTTTTTTGATATCCTGGTCATTTTTCAATCAATATTCAACTTAAATCAATCATTTGTTGTTGATAGTATTTAGTATTTTTAAAACCATTCAAAATACTGTGCTTTACCAAGCACCATAAGCTTTGGCAAGTATCCAATATAACTCTGCAGTGGTTTTATTTAAATAATAACAGAAAACTAATGCTCAAATTGGAGTTTGTAGAGACAAAGCTGGACATGTTCAACTCTATTAAAATGGTGCTATATAAAACTTGTACTGTCAGTTGATAATCTTTCCCAGCTGTTGAAGAAACAAAATGGCTTCAGTAATGTGATTTAACCGCAACAACTAAAGCCATATATGGAAAAACATTGGTTTCATGGTATCTTTCAAATCCGGCAAGTGTTTGTTATAAGCACCAATTTTGTTTACGCCTCAAAAAACTTTTGAGCATTTACCTGATGAAAATACAGCCAACCAGACAGAACAGGTGTACTGCATTCTGTGAATGATCGGCCATACAGAAACCAAAACGTAAATGAAAGGACACAATATAAGACATAAAATGTCTCCCAAAAAGAATACAAAAATATAGATTTGGTATGCTTAAAAGGTGAGAGGACACAAATGTTTCAGGAATTTGTGACAACTGCTGTAGGAAGATCAGAATCAACCAGAAGTTGATAATTCAAGTGTTTGTGTATGTCGATGATATCATAGTCAGAAGAATACCAGTTAATAACAACAATTCACAAAGGTGTGAGAGAAATCAATTAAGATAAAATAGAGTCATCGAGAACATGGAATAAGAGATGATAGAATGAAATCATTCATAGTTGAAAGAAATAAACATGAAGCGCAATAGCAGTATAACGAGAAAAGAACCCATGCTTTAGAGGTTTTTCACAGCTTACTATATCATACTTGGTTGTTAATAATGGTCTGAACACCTATCCAACACATTCACTCCCTACCCTGAACTCCATACCGCCCACACTGCAAAGTTAAAAAATTCCTTTCTTCCCCGATTCCTCTCTCCTTGCATCCTAAAGCAGTCAACCCCTCTGAGGTCAAATTCCTTATAAACAACCTAAAACCTCGAAAATCCCCTGGACACGATTTCCTTACTTCTCAGATCCTTAGACAACTTCCCAAAAAAGCAATCATATTCCTCACATACCTATACAACTTTATACTATGTACAACTCATTTTCCTCTCATATGGAAACACTCCATAATCATCCTCTTTCCTAAACCAGGTAAACCTGTTAATAATACCTCATCCTATAGACCAATAAGCTTGCTCCTGATCCTCTCAAAAATTTTTGAAAAATTCCTTCTCAAACGTATTCTACCCATTCTCGAAACCCACAATATCCCTTCCTGTCAGTTTGAATTCCGCTCAAGACATTCCACTGTTCAACAAGGCCTTCGCGTTGTTGACCATATATCCTCTGCGCTTGAAAACAAGCAATATTGCAGTAGCGCCTTTTGGTCGTAGCGCAAGCTTTAGACCGGGTATGGCATGATGGCTTGCTTTTCAAGCTCAAAACCCACTTACCCCAATCCTTGTACCTAGTCCTCAAATCCTACCTTTCAAATCGTTCCTTTCAAGTCCGCTGCAGCACCTAATTCTCGAATTATTATTCAGTTGAGGCTGGTGTTCCACAAGGCAGTGTCTTAGGCCCAGTTCTCTACATTCTTTTCACAGCTGACATACCAACCCATCCTGATACCCTTCTATCAACACTGGCTGACAATACCGCCATCCTATCATCCCACCCATACCCTGAAACAGCATCCCTAAACCTACAAAGACACATCTCCCTAATAGTGCAGTGGTGCAACAATTGGCGCATCAAAATCAATGAATCCAAATGCAAGCGTATCACCTTTACCCTCTGATGCAGATCCTGTTCACCTATCCTTTTCAACTCAGTACCTCTTCCCATCTCAGACACAGTTTGGTATCTTGGATTCCTTTTATACAAAAGACTAACATGGAACCGACATACCAGGCTTAAAAGACAAGAACTTAACCGACGATTGGGCCAACTATACAATTATGTACTTAACAGAAAATCTAACCTCTCAATTGAAAACAAACTATTAATATACAAGACCATACTGAAACACATCTGGACCTACGGACTTGAACTGTGGGGGACAACTAAATTTTTGAACATCAAACGCATCCAATCCTTCCAGTCTTTAGTCCTTTGTACAATAGTAAATGCTCCTTATTTTACAAACAAAACTGTACATAATGATCTTAACATTCCTTATGTTATTCCAACCCATTTCTCAAATTTTCATCAAAACCTAATCCATCATCCTAATCCCTTAGCACAATCCTTATCCAGCTCCAGCCATCCCTACAATCCTCTTCGAAGATTAAAAAGGCAGTGGCCTCAAGAAGAGCAGTCTCCACTGGATCCTCGTCTCAGTGATGCGGCTGAGAGAGAACCACTGGGATCTCTTAGAGTCTCGCATTATCTTCCACATGTGGGAGAAAGGGCCCAACTTGGAGCTCCCTCAGCTGACTATAAATATTGTAAATAAGCATGAATGTTTTTTTTTCTTATTTATTTATTTATTTTTAATTTGTGTTATATCATATTTTATTTCATCTGTTTTACTAAGCTTTCGTTTTCTTATTTTGGTTATAATTTCTATTATTTTTGTGATTGTATATATTGCATGAATGAGTTTCTTACATCTCAAATACTTGATGCCCTTGATTGAGGCAAAATGTATTTTTCTCAATAAAATAAGATTAAAAAAATAAAATAAAATAATAGTCTGAATTAGAATGGAATTCAGCTGAGAATCATTCTTATTTCAGTTACCAAGGTTTTTAAAAGTAATATTTTCACACACGCATAAAACATTTACAATACAATTACATTCCATTTGATTTTTAAAGGTCCAGTCTCCAATGGTCTACATTAGTGAATCGTAAGTACTAAATGGAAAGGCAAACAGAATATATTTTTAAGAAACATTTTTAGACTAATTTCAGAACAGAAAAATGGGCAGAAGCCTAGGAAAATAGAATGTAGGAAAGAAGAATACAAAATTGTACTAATAACGTGTTTAAATAAGTAGATCTCTTTTATACAAAGATGAAAGTGGCTGTGATAGGTGCATAAAACGGAGAATGACTGATAGTGGAGAAAACAATCTTGGTGGAAAAAAGTAAAACATGAACGGGATCGAAACAGATAAGAATTGCAGATTGAGAACACCAAGTTTGCTGCAAGCTTCTGTTGCCTCACCAGAAGAAAAGAAGAAGATGGAAGATTATGTATGGGCCAAAAAATAAATAAAATTCATATTTATTATTTTATATTCTCAATATAAACCATTTTTTAACTTGGAAAGTGCTCTAATGTAATGCTTGTATGACAATATAAGGTTTATTTTTTACTTATTATTATTTTTTTTTTTTAATACTTACCATTCTTAAGAATGTTCTGCCAAGTGATTTAGGTTCTTTAGCATAGTATTTTATTCCCTCAAGTAGAACCCTAAAAAATGCAACAAAAGATTGATATTAAATAAAAAATTTAAATGAAATATTTTCAGTACATTCAACATCAAATGATTATCAAGTACTTTATAAAATTTGAGCGGTTCCTCGACTTTCAACATTATTGAGAAATTTAAATATTATAGAATATATTCATTTAATATTTGGAATAGTCAATAAATATAGGATGTAATATGACAAAACTCTTACTGGTAAGATAATGAAATATCCATTCCATCTATTAATACATTAAGTCAAATAATTTATAGATCAGATACAATTATAATAATGGGGAATTGCTCCTTCCAAATTTGTAGGATAAGTCCAATTTAAATTTATGTTAGTTTCTAATAATGGTTACAATAGCTTAAAATACAACAAAGTTGCATAAAATGCAAACATAACTTTAATAATGGCATCTTTAAAGAAAATAATCAATGATTGACCATAATATCAATAAGTGATTTAATGTGGACCCACTTAATGCCCTAATCAATAAACTCTACCTCAATCTGTATATAAATACATTTGTTTCATTGCTTACTTTTCCTTCATAAGTCATCTTATTTCCAATGTTTGAGATAACCACCACCCTCCGACCTTACCATTACCCCTTTAAATTTTATTACTTAAAGTGAAATTATTTGTGTTTTTAGATTTACTTTGTTTTTATCACATTTATTTTTTTCATTTATATATTCTATTTTAAGTATTATAAACACCTTAATGGTCTATATCTTTGAATTTAATAAATTTACTGAGAGTTTTATTTTTTTACCAATAACCATGATATCTTTGATTTAATCACAGCTAACAATTTTCAGGGGGAGGGTCTTTCGGGCTGAAGTCCCCCCCCCTAAATGGTAAAATATAACCATGTTTTATGAAAAAAAAAATTATCTTTAAAAGTATTATTGTTCGTCTAATTACAGTTAATAGGACTTCAACAATCACTTGAAGACCATTTCATATAGGTAGTTAGTTTCTTTCTCTCCCCCTAAGTCATTATTCTAATATACTTATAAAAAAAAAATCTTTTGGGCTTAAGCTCCCTAAAATTGAATCCTGGATCCGTTAGTGGCCAGGATGAATCGTTAGTCCTTTCCGGAAAGTTATAGAGGTAACATGTGCACAGTCGTTAAGGGAGCATGGACCAGATGAAAACCATCTTTAATTGAATTCGCATTAGCAGATGAAGAATAGGGAGTGTTGTAAAATAAGAGCTACTAGACAGACATTAACAAGAAGCAGTAATAGATAGTATTAATTTAAATTTTATTTTTTTTATTAAATATGTTCTTATATTAAATAGAATATTTGATAATTGATGTTATTTATTTGATCCTTGCAATTCGCAGTCCACAAGCCAGTTAAGCCATCAGCGTCCATTAAATTTATCATATCATATAAAAATTATAATTCAATATTTTTTTTTAGTTAATTCAATTTAAATAATATCAGTATAATACATATATAAAGCTTTCAGGCTGAAGCTCCCCAAAATTAAATCCTGGATCCCCTAGGGCTTATGAATAGATATTTTAAACTATCAGTTCCTATAAAATTAATTTAGGTAACAGTGAAGTAATGAATGATTTTGTTAGTGAACTTATTTTTTTGTCTTAACTTATTAAACAAAGCTATAATTTTGACAAATAAAATTACAACTTGACATGGTTTGGGATGTGGAACAGAAAAATATTGTATTTTGTCCAAAATATGACTTGTGCCTAGTGACGTTATAAGAACCTTAGTGCATGGCCTAAGAATGATTCATATAATAATTTCTAAAACTTTCTAACACTGTGGCTTGGTAGTTTTTAGTAGTTTACAGAACAAATAATTAGTTCATAAGAAAATTTCAACCGATTGAAAAAAACAATAAAAATTTAACCAATTGTTTAAATAGTTACCTCCATTGATCCCAATAATTCTCACTAGCGGGGCCGGATGTAGGGGGAGGGGACAGTTAAAGAGGGCAATTCCCCCGAGTGGCAGAAGAGATGGCAAATTCTGACACAATATTTTATTTTTAGATTAATTGAAAATGTGTTTAATTTGAATAATATAATAGAGTCAACATTTTTATACAAAGTCAAGCTATTGTATCTTTACAATCAAGAGCTAAATTTATGTCTAAAGACAAGCATTTGATCAAAGTAATAATATATATTTGATAAATTTAAGTGTTTTAGAATATATTCATTGGATCAAAATCACATTACGTTTGTTTTTCCCTTTGAAATGGGAGCCATGAGACAATGAAACAACTTTTTGACAATCCTGGCCATTACTTCATAGAACGACGTGGCAGTCAAGATTTTAAGTTATTTTGTATGAGTTCTGAAAAATACCTCCATCCAGGAGTGCCATCCGTCCCCAAGGTCAATGGCACATGAACCCTCCCTCCTTCCTCCCAAGATATTTTATTCCCCTCCTATTCTTAATAACAGTGTAAACTAAAGTACAAATTTAAAAATCTCAGGTCATTTACAATTATACTTTCAGTGGTCTTTTCTATGCTTCCCCCTTATCCCTTTAATTCGAATCTTTTTATTTTGATAATTCATAACCCCATTGAAATGTGTCCCTCTCAAAAATTTAAAACCCCGTCAAAATGTGCTCCCATCAAAAACTTTGAATGTAACTTACTTCATGAAACCTGCTTCTGGGCACCCCTGCTTCCACCAACAGATTTATTTTAGTTTAAATTACCATGTGGCCTACAGATAAATTTTTACAGTTTATTGAAGATTAGCATATGTAACCTTGTTCATGGGGAGTGTATTATCCCAAATATAAAAGTCATATCGAGAAAAAAATATTTATTGAAAAAGTGGCTCAAAAATATAAAGTATTTGTAAGTATAATGTGATTGGAACTAAAATAAAAACCCTCTGCTAACATTTCATGTGAAAGTGGCAATGGTGGTGACGTCTCTTTCGCTTTTCATTGACCATAATTAGAACTGTGCAAACAACGATCCCAAAGTCAGTCATACATAACAACTTATAATTATAACAAATTTTTTTTTTTAAACTTACATCAGTTTAGACATAAGAAAACATTGTAGAACCAATTTTGAGTTGTAAAACAAAAATATTGATTTTTTTAAGTGAATTTTTTTTGGCAAAAGATGACTTTTTCAAAAACACGGAAATTGGAAAATCGAGGCCAAACTTAAATGCCTAATGAACTGCAAATACGTTTTGTTTTCGGAACCTTAAGAGATACGCATATAACCCAGTATTACACCAAGTTTAAGTGGCTCTATCCATCCAACCGCCGTCTGTACTTCCTTGCTACCTTTCTATACTAAGCCATCAGAACTGAGCGACCTTCCTATATTTTTCACATCCTACAATTTAAATATTCCATTCAATCCCGTCCCACTAGATCCTGTACTTCTGATCTCTATCCACCTCCTCACCGAACTGCTGGGTTTGACAAATCCTTTGTAATTCAAGCTGTCTCCATCTGGAATACCACCCTCCCGATATCCGACATGCACAATCAGTCTTTTCATTTTTAAGCACCTACTTCTTACCCAACACGGTTGATCATGAAAAGTAGATAAGAGAACTTTTTAAGTTCCTCCAGAAATGATTTTGTTTACTTATGTTATTTTATTTTTACATGTTTGTATTATATATATCTGTATGTATTTAGTGTTTTTGTTTTATTTTTCTTCCAATATTTTAATTTTGATGTGAATTGTAAATATTTAATTTAATTTTATGGTACACAGGCATTTCCTCTGTATCTATAATTTTTCCTAAAGGGACAACAGTCCCAGGATAATAAAAAATCTATTTTAATTTCATTTCATTTCAAATTCACTCCGATCCAAAAAATCCACCCCAAAAAGTTGAAGAAAGAGTTTATTACTATTATTTAAATGTAATGCGCTATTTAGTAATCAATTTTCAACATTTTGTGTGAAAACTATTTTGGAATCGAATACAGGATCGAACATGAGGCCTAGAGCTTAGGGTATCTAACTCACTGGGGTATTCCACTCCAATGGTACAACATTAAAATACATTCTATTTAAGAACAAGAAATTTCTCCATCTAATTTTTTTTCCTCATTTGCTTTGGAATCATTATTGTAATATGAAAAGTAATTAATTAATTAATATAAAAACAATAAAATATTTAAGAAATTAAGGAGTTGGAATTTTCTTATTTAACCTTTATACTTTTAATATTTATTTAATATGCTAACCTAAGTTCATTATAATGTTATGCATAGTGATAGACTTTTGTATAATACTATAATTTAAATGTGTATGATGACTGACTGAAATATTGCATTGATAAATACTGCTTTTGTTTCACATCCCTTTGGTGTTCTAATAGTGTTATATAGCTTATATAATTTAATTGAACTTAAAGTCATAATGAAGAAATTTTTTTTTTATTATCCTCTACCTTGCCATTTCTGGTATATGGAGAGGGGTTGTTCTAGAGGTATAATCTAACCTATTCTAACCAGTATGAGAAGGTTGAGATTCATTCTGTGAGTCAGCCATCATGACCTCTTATAATGAAAGAATTGTATACTTACGTATTATGGAACACTGCAATTTCCTTGAAGTTATTAAAAATTAAATCTTTCTTATCACTGACATAACGTGGCACTTTTGGTCCATCTAATGGCTTCAGGTATCTTTCTACAACTTTTAATAAATCTCTACAATACTCTTCTTCTGTTTCAATGAGTTCAGAAATAACAGCCCTAGAAATAAAAAATAAATAGATTATTATAAATATAACAATAGCCTACAAGAGAGTATTTAACATACTGTTTACATTTTGTTTAATTCGGTAATATGTTTTTAAATAAGTATGAAAATTATCAGATATACACACACTTTTGCATATAATAGAACAGGTACTCTTTCATTCCACAAACTTCACCGAAGAATAGGAAGAACTAGACAGAAATCTAGTATAAACTTTAGTTGAAAATGGCCATTGAGCTTGATTGCTGTTATAATATAATTACTATACAGCAGATTTGGCAGATGGTCTGGCCATGGCTTAAAGAGCAGTCCAGTTAAGACATACATGCTTTGCTATCCTCCTCAAGAAGTAATGCTCTGATAGCACAGTAGTTACATGGGGACGGCACAGAAGAATAAGAAAGTTCATTTTCTTTACTGAATATGAATCTTGAAAAGTTTGGACCAAATCAGTCCACTTACAATTAGTCTATCCAAGATTTTTCTCTGTACTTAAAAAAAACTCATACAGGAGTGTACTAATCAGAAGTGGTATTTCAAATGAAAAGACTATAATTAGCAAATTACCCATTCAGGAACTTCCCAAAGGTGGATTACTAAATTTAATAATAATAAATAAAATTTTAAAAAATGTATAACAATTATAAACTTCATTTCATGATAAATTTGTAGTTGAGTAATTGCTGTGGACATAGTTGTAATTCATAAAATCCAATAAACAAATGAGAATCATTAGTACCACCTCATATGAAACCATTAATTTTTTAAAACTTATATGTTCTATACCCTGGTTCTGTTCACTTAGAATTACTATATATAAATTTTATATACATTATTTTTAATATTTACAAGATAACTTCACTTATTACATCAAAATTAATAAATTTATTTTCTGGAGAAGCAGAATGAATAGGGAGCTTTTATTAAAGTTATTAAACTTTAATAAATTATAGGAAGAAGTAATTTAAAGATATTAAAAAAAAATTTACACTGTCAGAGACATGACATTAAACTAGGAATATTAAGCTGGATGCAAATGACAGATGCAAAGATTCCAAGACTAATATGGAGAGAAGAGTTACACTGCAACAGGAGATTGGAACATACAAAGGTACATTGGACAGATGGGATGGCAGCTGATATGAATAGCCCTTTGCCTATCAGTAAATGGAAAGAGGCTGCCCAAAATAGTGAAATATGAGAGAAATTCAGAGAGGATCCCATGACTCAACATAAATTGTAGACCTAATAAATAAATAAATGGATATTCACTTTTATTGTATATATTCAATACTGTAATTATTTAAGTCTATAAATTTTAATTTAGTCTCTCTCTCAGTCTTTCTGATCTGTACCTCATATGCATGCACCTTTGCCACTTCAAATATCTTTTCATCTGCTTCCTCCATTACTCTTATTTTTTGTTCGATGTTGCTACATACTTTATACCAAGGGTGCTCCCAAGGCAAGTGTGCTCAATATGGTATGTTGGAATTAGTAACAAAGTTACTATCTCAGTATATTATTTTTACTATATTTTGTAGTTAAAACTTTTATTTAGTAGTTAAAACTTTTATTTTGTAGTTAAAACTTTTCATTTTGTAGGTATTGTTTGTTTGTTTGTTTCGATGTCTAGGCGCAAAACATCCAGGTCATAAGCGCCCGATCAACTAAATAATATCACTTAATATTTGGATGGTTGGTACAAAAAAAAAAAAAAATAAAATAATAATAATAAACTAAAAAAAAATTAAATAAAGAAATGGGTCGATAGAATAAAATAAATAAATAAGAATAATAGTAGACATTTATAGATAATAAGATGTATAGAAAATGTATATAGGTAATAAGATGTATAAAAATGTATTTTTAGGTATATTCTCTCTCTCTCTCTCTCTCTCTCTCTATATATATATATATATATATATATATATATATATATATATATATATATATAAGGGATAATATATACTTAAAAACAGGTGAACTTATTATATAAATATAATTAATGTGAATATGGCAGGGTATAGGATAGACCTTTGAGGAAGTACAGTAGTGGCAAGCGTCAATATGGGGAACCCTTTGTTGTGTCAAATGTTGTAAAAAGGTTGGGCATCCTTGCTTTTTATCTTACCCATTTCTTGTTAATTTAGGTTTCTATATCATTTGGGTCTATGTTTTTAATTTTAACGTTATCAAATAAAATAAATATTTTTTCTGTATTTTATATTGCACCAACACATTTCAGATATATATATATATATATATATATATATATATATATATATATATATATATATATATATAAGAGCATCACCTTTTTTTTTTAATCATATTTTAGGTTAGTACTTAAATGATTGTTCTTAATAAATAAATACGATAAAATGTCATGTTCATAATTAGTGAACTGTTATTAAAAAAATAATTTAAAAAAATTACATTGATTATTCTGATTGTACAAATTATAACTTAGAATAAATGAACTTGATGGAATTCATTCATCATTTCTAAGGAATACTTAAACAAACAATAAAGTTCCTCTTCCTACTTACTCTTTACGAAACATCGTTTCTTGGACTTGCAACAATTCAATTGGTTCTTCTTCTTGAAGAACTACAATAGGTACCCATCCCTTAATCGATGGATCTTCAAGAGACTGCACATTCCATCTATAATACACAAAGAAAACAATTTTAAAATACAATAAAAATGAAGAAATTAGAAAAAATAAAATACAGAATCATTGCTTTTACAACGAATTTTACGGCCTCTTATACTCATTAGTTTTTATACTTGGAGTTTTCTGTACATTGTAATTAGTTCAGAAGTGAATCTAACTACAGAATTCGAAACAATCCTAAATAATCCTGTCAGTATTGAATAGTAAAATATTTAAAACACCAATAAACTGTAACATCGGGTTGAAATATTATACAAAACGGGTAGATATACAAGAAAGACAACGACTATGCATTGGTGGTACTATTCATATCTGTTTATTTGATTATTCCTTTTTCAATTACGGTCAAAGATCCTGCCTTTCCCATTGGTCTCCGTTCCAAATTGGTACAAGACAATTGCTGATAATAAGGGCGTAAGGAAATAAATAAAGTAGGAATAAATGGTTCGGAAAGTGAGAATGTATTTCAAAGCAAATGTTCATCAATATCTAATTAATAAAGCTATATTGAAACACAACAATCACCTCATCAGTGAAGGTCAGCATCGAAGCCACTTAATGTGGACCACATTATCGAAGTAGGATTTTTTAGGATTTTAGATAGGAAGAAAAATATAACGGTTTAGTCACTAATCGGTAACCAATCCTTGAACAATAATTTAAAACATATATTCATAATATTGTCTCTTAGCCATGATTTTAAAAATAAATTAATAGTCCATAATTGTAGGATTCAAGATTTTCTTTAAGACAAAATTAATACGCATTTTTCAACATTTAGCATAATCTGAAACGGTCATCTTTCAACCAAGTGTTTTTAAAACTTAATTATATCTTCTTTCAATAGTTTCATAAGATATATTTTCTTAAATACCTCTTCCTTACTTGAAAATAATTAGGAGTTTAGTTTAAATGGGTATATAAGAAATTTTATAAAACAAAATAAATGAGGAAATATTTTCCATGATTACATCTGGAGTCAAGAGGGCATTGAGAGACTCGCTAAAAATCCCACATCAATAACAGAATCTGCATGGAGGGAAAATGGTTCTTGAGGGTAGACAAATTCAAACATCTCGGCTCAACAATAACATAAATGAATGACCAACGGTCGTAAATAGACCAGCGTGTAAAAAGCGCAAACAGAGCTTTCTTATCTAATTCCAATGTATTGATTTACCTAAAAATCTCAAATTATGGATGTACAGTGCTATGATAAAGACAGTTCTGATATACGGCTGTGAGACCTGGACACTAACCAGCAACCTGGAAAGAATTACTGGAAGATTTGAGTGAACCACGATAGCGAGACTATCTGGGAACAGATTACTAACGAAAGGAGAAGGACCAATAATGAACTGCTCACAGAAACCGGTTATTCAATACTCATGAAAAGAAGGCATGTAGCTTAAGATGGGCAGGGCATGTAGTTCAGAGCAACCCAGCAGGAAGTCTCTACATAACAATGAATTCCTCAATATTAGGCAAGAGACCACGTGGATAGATCGGAACAACAAAGATGCAATAGAGTTGCATGCGAATAACTGGAAAGAAATAGCCCAAGATAGGCAGATATGTAGAAGGCTGGTTAAGGCGACGAAAAGATCTAAAAGGCCCGTAATGTCAACAAAAAAAAAAAACTGTTTACTGAATCAGCTGATTTATGAGCAAACTTTATTCTGACTAATTTGAAATTAAAAATAACTATGTTCGGAATTAGTCCGAATATGAAACAATAGAAAAAAATCCTTCTTCTTTTCTCGCTGCGAACGTTTCAAAGAATAATATAACAAGAAAAACGTTCAATGGTTTCAACTTAATGAAACATTTGAATGGAAGTAAAAATATCTAACTCTTTGTTGAAATAATTTCAGAAATTAGTCTTTCATCTAGGCACCAATGTTTATAGTTTTTTTTCTAGTAAAGCCGTATAGAAAACCTTCTTCTTTTGCGTATCTATTTGTATGACTTAAAAATACACCTTATAAATGCGTTTAGTTTGAACAAATTTATTATACAAGAATCGATCCTGTTGGTTACAATAGAGTCGATCCATAATAGAAAATAGGATATATTTAATAATAAATCTGAGGAAAATGTAAAGTAAATACTAGGAAATATATATATATATATAATTCTATAAATGATATTTTAGCGCGGTAACTTCGGGCTAGTTTGACAGTAGGGGGTTACTTGGATCCAAACCGAAGAAAAGATTTTAAATTACACCTAGGCTTCTTCTCATGTAAATTGATACATAATTCATAATTTCACGAATAAGCAGCAACGTTATCTAGATCCTGAAGCACATTAACACGTTGTAGCTACTTTTATTTTTCGGTTTTGATCCTAGTAACCACCTAATGTATCTAACTAGCCCGAAGTTACCGCGCTAGAACATCACTTATAGAATTATATATATATATATATATATATATATATATATATATATATATATATATATATATATATATATTTATTTCCTAGTATTTATTTTACATTTTCCTCAGATTTATTATTAAATATAAGCGCTTAAAATATTAGTTATTCCAGTCAATTCTATTTTCTATTATAAATCGACTCTATTGTTACCAACAGGATCAATTCTTGTATAAGCAGCCTTAAGTTAGCTTAATAATTTCGGTGTGATTAATAATGAACAACTACGTGCCATAATAGAGAGTACAAAGCTCATATGAATGGTATAGATGAAAGGTTTTTTTTTTTTCTAATTATACTGAAATGATACATAAATTGTATTAAACAATAATTCATAATTTTTACATTCAAGCAAATGGTGAGTACACTATGAAGCAACACTAAACTACAGACTTAATGGCTATAGCGGGTTAGAATTTCAGCAAATGAATCAATAAAATATTATATGAAAGCACCTGAAAATATGATTAATAAACATTTAATTGAAAAAAAAACATGAAGAATAGAGCCAATTTCTCGGTTAGAAACTACAGTGAGCATTAGGCAAAACTACGTGATATCTACGAATAATCGACTAGTGTAAGTTTGTTATAGCTTCCTAAATCACATCTTCATCTAAAATAAATTAGAATAAAGAATGAGAAAGTACGCCTTGGGAAAAGGAATAAGATAAAAAAAATTGATCTGTTATATTTGAGGAGCGTTTTACGAAAGCAGAAGCTTCAATAACTCTTCAATCCTACCTGTTTTGTCGATTTCGTTTTTCGTATTTCCGTTTCGGTCGTATAGCCATTTTGTGTTTGGCCGCACTGCTATCCAGTAATTCTTCGATATCCAATCCTAGATTCACTTCTTCTGAATCGATACGAACCCGTCTGAAAATTTAGCAACATTGTATCAAGTAAGGAAACTTTACTTGATGAGAAAGCGGTTTTGAAATATGAGGCTTTTCGTAAAGTTTTCCTTTAAACTTATCAAATGGCCAAATATATGGAATTTATAACTTGTTTTCATTTTCATTGGACAGCTCTCAGTATATTTTATTTTTGACAAAGTGAGGAAGTATTGAGTGAACTATGATGTGGCTTGTTTAGCACACCAGGTTTTTATTATATTCGAATAATTTTTCTATTCCTAGCGATGCATTATTACCAAATTACAAGGAGAGGATTCCAGGATTTCTAACACGTGTCTCCAAGATTTTGATGAAACTTTTTTAGGTGAATCTAGACCTTAAAATATCTACACGTGTCCAAGCTAGCCGCCAGCACACTCCCAGAACCTCGAAAAATAAGAGCAGACTTTATTTTATATCTCTTATAAAAGTAAAAAATTGAGTTCACTATCAAAATTTCCCAATTTCTAAAAGAAGAAAAAAAAAAGATCTCTCTAACAATTTTAGATTACCAAGGTTACCAATTTCAATGATCCTTTTTTTGGTGAAACTAGAACGAAAAATATTAGACCCGATGTCCTAGGGTTCAATGCGCACTAGATACCGAGAAATAAAGTATTATATATAATTTTAAATAAAATTAATGTTATTATTTTTTTTCCAAATTTTTAGAGTATTATTTACCAATCGGTTTCTTTTTTTGTGCAGAACAAGAACAAAATATTGATTACAGTATTTAATTAGTTAGAAAGAATTTTACATAACAAAAACCAAAAGGTTCTTGCAGTAAAGTAGTACACGTAAATTTTTGATTTGAGAAACTAAGTTACATTCGTTTTAAGTGTTTTTTAAATCGTATAAATACGAATTTTCATAGAGATCAAAAATTGCAAAATTTAGTATTTGATTGTCTGGGAGGATTGTTTTTCTGGTCGCTAACTAAAGCATTCATAACTTCTCAAGATTTACTCCAAATTCAACGTCTGTACAACCGTTAGAAAGATGAAATACTACTCTTCCAAATTACATCAATAAGTTTTAGATTGCATTCCTTCTCAAAGCTAGGAACTTAAATAAACTTCTCAAAAAAAATTATTTTATATCTTTGGTTCTAATTTGCTTATGGAGGTATGGTTTTCACTATTTAATGTTGCATACAGAGCCCTGAGTACTTAATAATTTTTGTGTGATTCGGTGGAGTAGTTCTGAAGTTATCAAATTTGGTGTTTGACAAAAAAAAAATCGAAGTTTCCAGCCTAAGCTAAAATTTAATGTTTCAATGTCTATGAAAATTAGCATTTTAGAATTTTTGAGTATTTTAATAATGAATATCAACTTTGTTTCTCTGTAAACAAATATTTATCACCACATTGCTACGTAGGTTGGTCATACTGGTTCTCCTACGATAGCTCCTGGGAAACGTCAGCTTGGATATGTGTCACTGTTTCAAGGCCTAGAGATTCACCTGATAAAGTCTCGAAAAATTAAGATACACGGATGGGTTTCTCTAATTTAAACATAAAACAATAAAATGGTCAGAGAATAAATTTCAAACTAAAATATTATTAAGTAATAGCTTAAAAGAAAAAAAATTAAAATTAATGATTTGAAATCTGTAGTGAAATATACTTAACCTCCTACAAAAATGAAACACATTAATTGCATTAAATAAGTCAATTTTTACAGTCCCCTTAAGAACTTCTAGTCATGACGTTTTGAGCAGTATCCCTCCTTAATCATGGTTTCAGGAAAAAATATTTGATTTTGAAGTAGTTTTATTCAGGTTTTGAGAAAGACACACTTATAAATTAACTATACAACATATTTTGAAATAGATTATTTAAAATTTAATTTTAACAATGAAAAGGTAAAAATTAAAATAATCAGAAATTAAAAATTAAATTCAATATATCCGCTAGGAACTGCGCTTTAACATCGCACGACGCCAAACATGGAAAAAAAACATTTAATGTTTCAAGCCAAAAAAAAAAAAAAAAAAATTAAAATGACCAACAACGATATTCAAAAAAGGTTTGGCAGATGTTTTCGTCCGATTGGTTGGTAATCCTTCCTAGCTGTATTTATCTTAACTCCTTTCTTTTGGAGAGAAAGATGTTTACAAAATGATCTTGCACAATCTCATGCATGGAATCGCTTAAATGACTTTCAGTCCTCAATATTTTATGAAGCGAGTCCGAGTTTTACTTGTTTCTAATGTTTCAGTCATTGAATTAAGAATATTCTATTACAAGTAATAAACTTATGACTGGACTTCTTTATGTACTTCGTACTAACCTCGCCCCCCTCCAATATTTTGCCTCTCCAAGTGCCGAAGATAGTGGTTAAAGTGACAAAACCTTAAAAACCTTAAATCCTGTACCACTACAACCCATCAAGGGCCTTCTTTCTTGCAGTTAAAAGTCTTGAGCATTGTCTTCATGTCCTCACAACCGCACTTACAAATTAGTTGCTCAATAAGATCAGGACAATTAAATTGAATCATCGGATTGAAGCGATTTAGACGTTCGGGAATGGTTTACTTATTTTGTTTCCTCTCGGTATGTTATTTGCTGTAAGTTATCATGAAAATACAGCTCCCCTCACAAAAAAAAAAATAAAATAAAATAAAAAGTACCATATTTTTTGTCATGATAAGGGATGTAGCGATAATATCGATATCGACATTTTCCTTTCGATATCGTCCAATATCGTATCCAAAAAAAGGATTCGATATTATCGTAATATCGAAAGAAAAATGATAACATTGGATTAAAAAAAATTAATATGAAATAAACGTATTAACATTTACCAATATTTTTATAAATGGAGTTACAATACTTTCAATAAACAGTGCATGTCCGTCGGCATATCGCAAAAAGTCACTAGGTACATTTGTTTTGGAGCTGTGCTTTTAAGAACGTTTTTGTGAATTTTGATCTTATTGGTCGTTAAAAACCACAGCAAGGGCACTAAAATGGCACACACTCTTATATTATATCGGATTTACGTATAGTTACAACAAGCCCACAATTTTATGAATTCTCAAAGGAAAAAATCATCAAAATCCTTTGTAAATTAAGATTATAATAAGTAACTTTTTGCAATAGACCGATCATACATTTGTTAAGTGCCTCAAAAAATTCATTTTTATATAGATATCATTCGATATCGGTGATATTTGATTCGATATCAATCTTTGATTTCGATTTCGATAAGCAACACAAGCGGATCCAGAATTTAATTTTGGGGAAGGGGTTTCAGCCCAAAAGATTTTTTTTGATATACATATAACAATAATTAATTACAAAAAAAAAAGAGAGAAATTAACTACCTATATGAAATGGTGTTTAAGTGGTTCTTGAAGCCCTATCCGTACATCCGTATTCGTACATATCCGTACATATATTATTACAGTAAGGCTCGAAATCGGTTTCGTACCAAATATAAGCTCCTGTCATGCTCAAATACCATGGATGGGGTACCCTTGGATTCAGAATTTCACGAGGGGTTAGCGAATCGTATTATCCATTATTGTTTTTCTTTCTAAAATAAATAAAGTCGATACAAACATTTTGCTAGGCTTCAATACCTGAACAGTGGTAGGTTTGTAGATCGATACGGATCTAGAAGATTTTGATGCGTACAGCAAGACCCGCATAGTTCCTCCGGAACTATCGGATCCTGCATTTTAAGTCCAAAAACGTACTATTTTCGAGAAGGCATAGGGTTCGCATTCACACAACCTTACATTAATTGTAGTACTGTCATTGAATACATGTCTCATTTCGTCGACTTGAGGTCTCTATGATCGAGAGAGGAGGAGTTTATATTATTTATCGATGGTGTTTTTGATCGGCAAGCCATATCATCGTCAATTTTTCACCAAATCTCAAGATTGAGCCAACAATTTCGAAGGCTTCCTTCTCCTTCAGGCGGACAAAATAGTACAATCACCCCGAAAATTCAGGCAAACAAGTTATAAAAGAAAACAAAATTTATTTGCGAATAATAAAAAAATTACACACTTCCCATGGTTATGCCCGTGATTATATAAAAGAATACTTAATTCTCTACAAAAGGAAAAAAAAATTTTTGAAATCGGACAATTTTTAGCAAAGATACAGCTTACTAAAATTTGTAAACACGTTGGTTCCAAACAAACATGAAGATTTAAATTATTTGTTGTTTTCTTTGTCGATAATATTTATCAATAAAGTAACATTTGATTTCTTTATCTTTTGATACGTTGCATTACTTTATTTTATTATTAATCTGGCATTTGATAACAATATGCTGTGCGAATTTTTCGCACGAGCCTACTAGTTAAATGTAATTACACGAACCAGAATACTTTAAGAGATATGTTTTTCTGTAAAACATGGTAATATTTTACCAATTTGGGGGGGGGGCTTCATCCCGAAAGCCCTCCCCCCGTAGATTGGCCTGTGATAAGGAATATCGGAACTTACCCGCTATCGCAACAACCCTTATCATGATAAACGCAATAATTTTAAGCTGAACACAACTTGAATACTGCTGTAATAGGTTGATGGACTCGCTATCTCTTTGTGAACTGGAAGACGAAATGGAAGAAGAGGCTGACCTGAAAAGCTCTTCCCGAAATAAGATCATAAATCAACCGGATCTGTATAACTGACTCCTCCACGTGTTGATCAGCTCTAAGCACATAGGCAACAGAAGGCTTCGCTTGGGCTTAGATGGTACAAATGGCGGAAGGTGTTTTGACACATTGGTAGGGAGAATAGGGGCTAAGTATAGTGGGCAGGTAGCCGGACTATTTCGGTTGGGCTGATAGGTGAGGAAGGGCCAAGGTGAGCTCTGGCCGCTTTCCAAGGCGTTACACCCTAGCCTGACCTTACCCTACCGGAACCTTAGCTATTTTAAGATAAACGTTATCTTTAACCCTTCTTTAATCCTTGCCCTATTAGGTGCACTTGACGTTAGCGTCACAGGGCGCACTTTCTTTTTTACGTGCAGAGATTTAGGAATAGCAAGGAACTATGAACAAGGAAGACGGATGATTTTCTTAAGTCAAAAACAAAAATATGGAAAGTTAAAGTAGGTAAAAAATACTACAACTTATATAACATTATTGTTGCCCAAAATCGGTCTTGGTCTTGCACTTTGCAAGACCAAGACCAAGTCCACCTAACTGTTGCAAGACCAAGACCAGGACTGGTAAAAAAAAAATCAATTTTTAAAATAAAAATGGTTACTAATCCTTGACAATTTTATTTACTATATGTTAATAATTGGTATAACCAATACACTTTTTATTTAACTCCTTTAAGTTTTCATTCAGGATTCTTTAGGTTTCTTCTATCTAAAAAATTACAGTAATATTTCTACACTAATAAGTAACTCCAAGACTGTTGCGAGACTCTTGTGCAAGACCAAGACCACGACCGAGACTGAGTTTGCAAGACCAAGACTCGTCTCGGTCTCACATTTGGCCAACACTATATAACATAGGTAAACGAAAAAAAATTAACTATTAATTAATATTAATAATGCCATTAAAACGAATTCAGTTCAGAAATCACACTCTTCCAATCCGTGCAAATTAAAAGTTCAATTCTAAATCAATTTTGCTCTTTAACCCGGAAGGGAATTTTGACTACATCCAACAGCAATTGCCATCCACGTGTCTCTATTATGTGCTGTTGTTGTCCAATTTCTTACTTCGATGTATCCCAAATCACCTGGGACGAAGTCCGACCATCTCATCGTAGGTCTCTCAAGTCTGCGCTGCACAGTGGTAAGTAAGGCAAAACTCGCGACATTGGCTAAATCTATTTTTTTTTTAAACTTCAAAAACTAGATAAAATGTTTTATTGATACCTTGTGGAGTTGATGGAGTTCCCGAGAACATTTTTAGTTGGCAGAATATACATTTTCACTGTTTTTATTGAATAGTTCAATTGAAAAAAAAAAGATTTAGCCGATGTCGCGAGTTTTCCCTTACTTGTTTCACTGTGCGCCGGCCAAATAGCTGTTCCGTCAGTACTTTCTTCGGGATTGACTGATCTGACACCCGTGCGAGGAGTCCTGCCCAACCTAATTTCCCTGCTTTGATAATTGCGACTATATCAGGCTCGTTATAGAGGTTATAAAATTAACTATTTATACGCCTTCTCTATTTTCCGTTTAGGGATTATAGAAGTGCCGGATGTTTCTTCTTCTCTTAATTAATAAATATTATAGGTAGATCTCTCTGCTGAACCAGTAGATCTCCAGCTTTCCCTGCAGGATACTCTACCCTTGCCCCAAATGTTCGACGATCGAGGCCTCTCCAGTACTAGTCCAGCTAATGAATGCTCGAAAAAGGGGGTGTAAAAGGAAATGGCGGCGACACAATTTTCGACTTAAGGAAATTGTTTGGACTAGTAAGGAGGTAAGCATACTAAAAGCCCCCACTCCTTGGTGGAGAGGCAGATGTGGGGAGGGGGTGCTTGGTAGGTCATTTTTTTCGAGTTGTCGCTTATATCAGGAAAACTATCCATCACATCAACAAAGACGTTCTATGCAAGATTAAAGTTGATCAAATTTGCAATGTTATTGATCATATACTTTTTTTCTCTACCTCACTTAGTTTCCGAGATATCCGACCTCAGCTATAGCTTATGTGGTAAAAAAAAAAAAATGTTTCCTTATGTTTTTTACTACATTTAACAAGCTAACTTTTGATTGCTTCGTTTTACGATTAAGTCATGGGGAAAAAGATTTTTAATAATTAAATTTTCTTCAAGAATATATATTATTTTACTAATTTATCTCCAACGGTTCAAAAGTTAGAGCAGTTATAACCTTATATGTCGATTCCGAGAATTGGCAGACATTTTTTTTTTTATAATATTCGTTACTATTACATTGCTCTAAGTCTCAATATATCTAAATATCTATGTATATATATATATACATACACAAACATACAATAATATTTATTATAAAAATTATTTTTTTCTGCAAATTCTCGGAATCGACACATAAAGTTATAACTGGTCTAACCATTGAACAATTGGAGATAAACTAGTAAATTAATACATATTATTGAAGAAAATTTAATTATTAAAAACTTTCTTCCGCATGACTTAATCGAAAGACGAAGCAGTCAAAAGTTAGCTTGTTCTCAAAGTCAAAAATTGTGTCGCCGCATTTTTCCTGTTATAATCATTCATTGACTGAACTATACACGTTATGCAAATTTTCAGCATTTAAGCTCTTTTAAGACTTATATTCTATTTTTGAATTTTTATGTGAGGAAGTATTTATATTTTTATGGCTCTTTTTGTTTCACACCAGTAAATTTTCATTATCACAATGTTTTGGCGGATTTCATTTTGTATAGCTAAAATTATTTCATTCATTATCTCATTTTAGACTCTATTTATTCTCTTTAAATAATAATACACTAAAAATTAAATAACAAAGATACGAGAAGATAGTCTGATTCGGTGGAAACGTTGTAATAAATAAAAATATTTTGGCGTGTAGCAAAACGATCCTTATTAATTTTTATATACATTTATAAATATATTATATTTATTTACAGACACATATTCACATTACATTACAAGTTACATATTAAATAAAAAATGAATGTTTGATGTGAATGTATGATATAAAATAACATATATTGGCTAAAGAAAAGTAATCTAATAATGATTAGTAAATCAAAGTAATAAACATAATGATAAAATATAAATAAAAACCAATATAAATTAAATAATGGCAAAATAATTAAGATGAAAAAAATTAAGTTAAAATAAATAATTTGTCATAAACACAAACACAGATACCTGAGCATACCTAGATAAAATTATTTGATGTTTTTGGGGCAGTCAGAACTTAATTCAGGGAATACTTTTGGAAAAAAAGTTTTTATTAGCGAAAAGAATTTAACATTAATCATCAATCCTAACTAAATTAATTGGAAAAAAGAGAAGAAAAACAGGTACATTTAAAGCAGGTAGCTGGCCAAGAAGATATATTTATAATTGATATTATTATCTATTTTTAATACCATTAGAAAAACCCAAAATGGCCAAACCAATAGGAAGGTAATTTTTTATTTTTATTCTTAAGAGAATTTCACCTACGGCGCCAGCCTCTATTTTAAGAAAGCGGCCATTAAAAAAAAACATTAGGAGTTTCAGAGTAATTGACTGTCAGTAGAAATGATTGAAGGAAACGGTGTGCTTAGCTCGCTATAACCTCTAGGTTCCAAGGAGGCGAAGAAGGTACATAGAAGACCGCCATGGCGGAAATGAAGAACATTTTAAGGATTGCAGGACATTATACAACATAATGTTTCATATTTTCCTGCCCTAATAAGGAGATATAAAAATAAAGGAATTAACTCAAATAAAGTGTGAAAATGCAATTACGCAGTCGATTAATTTTATATATATATATATATATATATATATATATATATATATATATATATAGTACTTGAATATTAAAGAGGGAAAAATTTGTAATTTGACTAGTTGTTTCATTTCTGTATGAATTAACATATCAACTCTTTACAAAATAATGTATATAAAATAAATAACAGTTAAATCTCCCTCAAAAAAATTCTTTATTTTTATGACGTTTAAGGATCACTTTATTAGTGTCTGACTAGGTTCTCCCTAGAAGAGTCCACAATATAAATAAGGGATAATTTATAAAAATAAGAATTATGAAAAGACGTTTTTAAAAAAATTAGATGATAAAAAGATGAGATATGGTCTAAAGATGGGATAATAAAGTGATCCCGAAGCGTCATAAAAATAAAGACAATTTTTTTTTGGGGGGAGTAAACTTAACTTCACTTACTTAACAGATCAACTCTTTACAAAATAATGTATATAAATAAAATTAAGTAACAGTTAACTCTCCCCGAAAAAAATTATTTATTTTTATGACGTTTAAGGATCACTTTATTAGTGTCTGACTAGGCTCTCCCTAGACGAGTCCACAATATAAATAAGGGATAATTTATAAAAACAAAAATTATGAAAAGACGTTTTTAAAAAAAATTAGATGATAAAAAGATGAGAACAGCTAACTCTCTCCCAAAATTATTTTTTATTTTTATGACGTTTAAGGATCACTTTATTAGTGTCTGACTAAGCTCTCCCTAGACGAGTCCACAATATAAATAAGGGATAATTTATAAAAACAAAAATTATGAAAAGACGTTTTTAAAAAAAATTAGATGATAAAAAGATGAGAACAGCTAACTCGCTCCCAAAATTATTTTTTATTTTTATGACGTTTAAGGATCACTTTATTAGTGTCTGACTAAGCTCTCCCTAGAAGAGTCCACAATATAAATAAGGGATAATTTATAAAAACAAAAATTATGAAAAGACGTTTTTAAAAAAAATTAGATGATAAAAAGATGAGAACAGCTAACTCGCTCCCAAAATTATTTTTTATTTTTATGACGTTTAAGGATCACTTTATTAGTGTCTGACTAAGCTCTCCCTAGAAGAGTCCACAATATAAATAAGGGATAATTTATAAAAACAAAAATTATGAAAAGACGTTTTTAAAAAAAATTAGATGATAAAAAGATGAGAACAGCTAACTCGCTCCCAAAATTATTTTTTATTTTTATGACGTTTAAGGATCACTTTATTAGTGTCTGACTAAGCTCTCCCTAGAAGAGTCCACAATATAAATAAGGGATAATTTATAAAAACAAAAATTATGAAAAGACGTTTTTAAAAAAAATTAGATGATAAAAAGATGAGAACAGCTAACTCTCTCCCAAAATTATTTTTTATTTTTATGACGTTTAAGGATCACTTTATTAGTGTCTGACTAAGCTCTCCCTAGACGAGTCCACAATATAAATAAGGGATAATTTATAAAAACAAAAATTATGAAAAGACGTTTTTAAAAAAAATTAGATGATAAAAAGATGAGAACAGCTAACTCTCTCCCAAAATTATTTTTTATTTTTATGACGTTTAAGGATCACTTTATTAGTGCCTGACTAAGCTCTCCCTAGACGAGTCCACAATATAAATAAGGGATAATTTATAAAAACAAAAATTATGAAAAGACGTTTTTAAAAAAATTAGATGATAAAAAAATGAGATATGGTCTGAAGATGGGATAATAAAGTGATCCCGAAGCGTCATAAAAATAAAGACAATTTTTTTGGGGGGGGGAGTAAACTCAACTTAACTAAATTAACAGATCAACTCTTTAAAAAATAATGTATATAAATAAAATAAAGTAACAGTTAACTCTCCCCAAAAAAATTCTTTATTTTTATTACGTTTAAGGATCACTTTATTAGTGTCTGGCTAGGCTCTCCCTAGACGAGTCCACAATATAAATTAGGGATAATTTGGGGGGATGATTAAATATGATAATTTGGAATAATTAAAAATGAAAAGACGTTTTTAAAAAAAATTAGATGATAAAAAGATGAGATATGGTCTGGAGATGGGATAATAAAGTGATCCTGAAGCGTCATAAAAATAAAGACAATTTTTTTTTTTTTGGGGGGGGGTTAAACTGTTACTTGACTTTATTCATATACCTTGTATAAATAAATATCTCCCTTAAGACTTACGAACAAATGTTTATAAATTCACAAACGTTTTATTCAATCGTATGATACATCCTGCAATTCCCGAAACAACCCATTCTTGTTTTTACCCATGCAAACCATTTTTAGAGAGATTCGAATAAAATGGGTTATCCTTACACGGACGTTCATGGGGTAACGAACTAAAAACAACAGTAATTTTCTAAATATATGTACAGTGAATTTTAGAATGAATATGAAATATATTTTACAAGATATAATTGGAAGATTAGAATAATAAAGCCTTACTTATACATTCCGGTTTTCGTTTCAAGTAACCCATTTTGTTGGTTGAGGTTACTTTACAATGATTTTATGCCTTTAAGATGATGCAATTAGGTTCACTAAGTGTAATAAAAGCTTTGATGACTTTACTTACTTCGCTGGGTCCTGCCCTTTGGTACTGATGAGGACCACCTTCTCTCCTCTGTGAAGGCTAACCCCGTCGTCGGAGCAGAAGTCTTGGCTTATAGTGAACACCTCTCCAGCACCCTGGAATAATAGGTATTCAAATTGAATAATATGGTAAAACAAAAGTTATATAATATGTTATTAACAGAGCCGTATGGAAACTGAGCATCCAATTGGAGAGCTCTAAAGGTTGTAAAAATTCGATTGAATTCGAGAATTATTTTTCCCTTGGAGAAAAGATTAAGTCATGACTAAATTTTAATTGTTATAATTTAAAGGCGAAAGATTTATTCGTTTTTAAGGGACACCAGAGAAAGAGTGTGTATGTGCTCTCTGAACACTATTATAAATGCTCTTAATTGTGACAGATTGTAATATTTCTGAATAAATAAATAAAAATTAAAAAACATCTTTTTATTTTTTTAAATTCGTATTTTAAAAATAACCCTGATTTATTTGACTACAGAACAAAAATCATTTGAAAACAATAATCTTTGAGAGATAAAATTTAAATAAAATATGAATCTATCTGAATTTATTCTTTTTGTTTCAAATAAAACTCAAGACGTTTTATTTTGCTAAAAAATTGAACTAGTGAGTTGAGAATGGTTTTGTTTTATTCAGCGAAAAGATCTATAAAATAAAAATCTCATTTAACTATTTTTTAATTCGTACGATATACTGAAAAATTAATAAAAGTAAATAACTATATTTTATCTATCTATTTCATATTTAATCCTTAATTATTGTCACGAACATGAGTACCTTTACTTAAAAAATATTTAGGGAGTGAAGGTTACTGTAACATAACAGTGTTCAATGCAGAGGAGGAGAGAGGGGTAAATAGCGCCAGGTATAAAGAATAGCTCAGTAATCAGTTTATTACCTGTATTATAATTTAATATATTAGTTTTCAAAGGTATCTTTTTTTTTGTCGTTTGCCATATCCTCGTTAATTCTTCACCAACTCCAACGTTTGGGCCGTCATTCTTCTTCTTTGGGAAGACCAATTAGAGGGGAATGTTATGCTGTGCAGTTTATAACGTTCCCAATCCCTTAAATTAAAAAAAAAAATATATCCAAATCCGACCAATTTAGCAAAGACACAACCCATTGTATTTTGTAAACATGTTTTTGTTTATTATTAGGGACAAACCGCTGTATTTAACCAAGAATAAAAAAAATAATTTTTTCCTCTTATAATGCTTTGAATTTAGTTATTTCCATGTTATACTGCCATTTGTTCACTGATAAATATATTAGCCTAATTAATAGAAACCTATTTGGACTTACGGACTTGAACTGTGGGGGACAGAAAAAAGTTCTAACATCAAACGCATCTAATCCTTCCAGTCCAAAGTCCTTCGAGCAATAGTCGATGCTCCTTTCTATATAACTAACAAAACCCTACACCATGACCTTAATAATCCATTTGTCCTAGACCTTATCCCAGAAAAGCTCTTCAAATTTCACCAGAACCTTACCTATCATCCCTATAATTCCCTAAAATGTTTAAAACGGCAGTGGCCCCGCGACCTTTTATAGTTTGTATATATTGAAGTTCTGGCAATGGCCAGATTTAGCCCCAGTGACGCGGATGAGAGATTAGTGCAGGGATCTCCTGGAATTCTGCTTTTTCCTCCACAGTTGGAGGAACAAGTCTGGGTCGGACTTCCCTCGCCTGATGTAAATAGTGTATATAGGTATGTATGTGTTTTTTTTTTTATGATTTATCTTTAGTTATTTTATTCTTATTTATTGTATATGTATTATTTTGATGTTTAATTTCTTTTTGTTTGTTTGTACATGGAGTTTAAATGTGATCTCTGAACACTATTACAAATGTACTTTGAGACAGATTGTAATGTATCTCAATAAACAAGTTCTAAAAAAAAAAAAAAATACTCGCAAAGGCCAACCAGTAATAAATAATAGAAGTACAATAAAACTGTACAGCTACTCAACTATGTTGAGTTGCTAAAACAGCCAGCATACTCGTCAATCTTAATCGGCAATATTTAGTAAGAGAGAAAAAATAGAGATAAAACTCAGTGGGACTTTAAATTTATTCATTCACTGCTATAATTTTCTCCTCCTTCGATTTCTGTCCGTAGAGCTGACAACGTAGTTGTCATTATTATCTGGACAGTTTATCGAACATTTATGAGCTATTTTAAATAAATCATTGTGAAACATTGGAGGGATAGAATACCGTAAACAGATATAAGTTCTATAAAGGTTTTACAGAACTTTTATTTTTTTAAACTTTTATTTGTCTGCCGATTTAGCTGAAAAGTCGATCTAAAAAATTATTTTTATTCATACCTACTCAAACAAACGACACATTAGAATCACGTGTAATTTATGTAAGACAAATTATAGCTCTGATCTATTCCCGATTACTGTCCATTTTTCATTTAACGGAACTTTTTTAATAATTTAAATAAATAAAAGTTAAACTTTTACAATAAATCTAGAACATTGATAAAAAAAAGTTCTTTAGAACATTTATTTTGAGAACTTTTTGCCTAAAAAGTTTCACAGTAACTATTAAAATGGAAATTTTTAAAAAATTTCTATAAATGTTGCAACCCATCCAGGCTTATTTCAATACTTTCCTCCGTTCGATCTTGTGTCTCAATAAATTCTTAATTTATCAGCAGAGCTTGTTAATATGCCGAAATGTGACTAGTAAAAAATATTCTACTTCCTAAATAAAATAAATTTCATTATTAAAATATTTATTATTCTAATATTAAGTTCGAATGAAAATAGTTTATTTACTTTGATACGATATAATTTATTAGGACATTGTATAGGCAATTCTGATAAGTTAAAAGTCTTCAAAACATCACTCGAATCCATAATTTGGTATAATTTTTAAATTGATATTTAGTGCAAACACTTAAATATCCACTCTTCATTTATAAAATGGATTTATACCACTTTCAAGAAATACATGACATAGGAATAGTATACAGTAAGAAATCTACGTTTTATAATAAAATTCGTCAGAACATTCGAACAAAACCATTTGGCTAAAAATATATTATTTTCAGTAGTTATAGATACGTAGCGCTTCCATAAGTTTTCATATAAATTTTTTTCTCAATGTTTAGAAATTTTAATTTCAATGACGGAAAGTTTTTTATAGATGTTAATTTAAGGTCCTATGATGATTAGGTTAGTTCTTTTTTTTATATACATTTATTTTATTTTATTGTATTTATTTTTATTTTATTTTATTGTATTTATTATTATTAAGCTTCTGTATTTTTTTTTTTTTTTTATTGTAAATAGAGTGTGAGTGTGCTTTCTCTGAACACTATTATAAATGTCCTTGATGTGACAGAATGTAATATTTCTAAATAAACAAATATAAAAAAAAAAAAATTTAAGGTCATTACAATGATTTAAATTTATTAATAAACATAAATTATATTTCGATATGTTTGATTGGTAGGGAAGGAGTAGCTAGAAAAAAAAGGTGATCTAGATATATCAAGCGATTGTTAATCATTTTTTTCTCTTCCTATTCATTTTTGAGATACAATCGTTAATATTAGGGGGGCGGGGTAGCCGAATGGGTTAAAGCGTGTGCACTGCACCGCGAGTTGCCTGGCAACCGGATAAGAGATTTAAGAAGATTTAAAAAGTATGAGTTCGCATCCCGGTGCCGGAGGGGATTTTAAATTCCCCGCCCTCACCCTCCGGCCCAGGAAAATCCCGTATAGCCTTAAAGGCGAGGTAGGGAAGAACAAAAAAAAAAAAAAAAAAAAAAAAAAAAACAATCGTTAATAAAGACAGTATTTGTTAAAAGCAATTAGATAATCTAAAGTGTCAGGTAATTTTAAATCTATAAATTTTTTATGGCTTGTGTGTGTGGGGGGGGGAGTGAGGAATTCCATTTTACCCATGAAAATCAACTCATAGGGAAATTAGGATAATGGCATCTGGGAAGATGTGGGTGTAGTTTATAGGGCGTTTGTTTTGACCGATGGATGTATTGGCCAGTACACCTACCACGTGAACGATGTGTGTTTTCCGGTCTGAGGTGAGAATCAAGCTTGTGTTACCTAGATCCCACCAAATATAACGTTGATGTGTTTGTGTATTTTATTGTTTTTCAGAATTCACCCATCGCAAGATGATTTATTATTTATTATATTAACTCCTCTTCCATTGTAAATGTGAGACTTAGGCATTCTTTTAAAATAGAAAATTATAAAATCGCTAATATAAAGTTTAAACTAAAATTTAACACTTCTAAGGAAACGTGATAATTTGTTTTGATAAAACTCATGATCAGCAGTTGTATTAATAATAAATGTTCACACTAAAGTTTAATTTAGTTCAATAAATACTGCATTACTCATCGATTGCACATTAGAATTAGAGAAATTCTTCTGAAGAAGTTGACACCATCTCATGTTTGTCTCAGTGCTTTACGCTTTTTAATGTTTATCTCCGTTAGTTGTAAACTTCTTCTAATACAACTGTGCTGCAGGTATTATTACTGAACAAAACGAGGAAGTAATAGTTCTTCTGGTAGATGGTATCCTTTTGAGTATTATTGGAGAGAGGCACAGAGGAAGTAAAACTTCTACAAGAGTATGGGTGATAAATATTCAGGAAGCAGTCTTTTCAATTTTTTTATTCATGCCAACGTTTTATCACAAACATGTGGCTCATCTTCAGGGCGTGTTACTGTCAGTACTTGAACACCCTCAGTGCTCAAACCACGCCCTGGAGATGACCCACATGTTTGGGTTGAAACGTTGGCATAAATAAAAAATTTAAAAAGACTGCGTCCTGAATATTTATCACCCATGATATGTAGAACAGTCGACTAACTTCCTTCAAGAATTTTACAAGAGTACTGTGAAAACCATACACTAATTCCTAATATACATGGAAACCTAAATTTTTCCACAAATATCACAAAAACAAAGAAACTGAAACTCGTATACTGGTACAATGAAGAAAATTAGAATAGAAGAATAGAATAGAATAGAATAGAAGATAAGTTACACTGATCTTGGTGTCTCACTCACGTCAACTGATAAATTCCTTAATGTTATGCAGATTCCATCAGAACCTTATCAATCATCCAAATCCCCTAGCCCGATCCCTATCTAGTTCCACTCATCCCTACAACCCTCCTCGAAGGTTGAAGCGGCAGTGGCCCAGAGATCTTTTATAGTATTTATTTTGGAGTTCTGGCAATGGCCAGATACTCCACTCAAGACATGAGTGTGCGTGGCTAAAGCGCTCTCGCTCAAACTCCACCGGCTTTAGCACCGGTGAGGAGGTTGAGAGACTAGCGCAGGGATTTGGGTTCCCCGCCTGATTGTATATATTGTATATAGGTATGATTGTATTTTTATGTTTTTAATTTACTTATATTTAGGTTATTTTATATTGTATATAGTTTTTATTTATTATTATTTAGTTATTGTTTTACTTTGTTAACTTTATTTTATTTTTTTGTATATACGGTGTGAATGTGTTCATTTATCAATATAATTATTGTCCCTGTGACAGAATATTGTATGTCTAAATAAAAAAAAATAAAAAATAAAAAAATGTTATGCAGAATTCTACCGTTACAAGTACAAAAGTTAAAGAAATCTTCAGATAAAGAAAAATATGGTGTGTCCACTCACACGACTTTCCTACCTATTTCAGAAAAGTATTTATATCTATACATATGTCCATCAAGAAACAAAGAAAAATGAATTACATTTTTTTTCCTGAAAATTGATCAACGAAAAGATTTCAGTAAAGCAATGTAAACCGGCGTAAGGTAGATCATTATATAAATTTCAATGCCCTCTAATATTGCTGATCAAAAACTTTTTGTTATAGCCTAATTTTTTCAAACAATAATTTCTGTTAAAAGTAGCGGAAATAGTGAAGCTTGTGTGATGCGGGCAACAGATTTTCTTACTTTCACTTAATACTCTCATTCAACCCTTTCTGACACCAGGATGTGAGCCCGTAATCATACATTGGAAATTGAATAGCTATAACTTCGTTAATAGTTGTCGAAAATGAACGATTTTTACACATTTTTGTAGGGAATTTCATTACCTTTCAAAACAAAGTGTAGCAACTAGAATAAGCTATTACTGAGAAACATCGCTAATACTGGTTCGATTCCGATGATGTTTTTCTTGTTTTGTTGGTAATTTAATTACCTTTCAAAAGTTTTATTATTAATTTTACCATAGAGTATATACTTAGCGAGTTAGTCCCCAAAACATTTTTCTTTTCTTTATAACTTTTTTTTTCCTTAATTTTCTCGGGAATTTAGTTCATGTACGGAAATTGAAAAGATAATTATTAGAACATTATAGGCAAGTTTCATCAAAATCGTTAGTCGTTTTCGCGCTATAGTCTATAGAAAACATGTTTTTAATTTATTGGGCAGCAGCTATTAAGCATGGAGGACCCAATTTGTGCCACAGACATCAGAAGTCAAAACCCTACAAAATAAAAAAAGAAGCAACCAAATCGGTTCACTAGTTCCCGAGGAAATCTTGGCACAGACAGACAGACAGACCAATGGTTAAAAATGTGTTTTTAGGACTCAGGAAGCTCTAAGGAAATAACCGTCGAAAGCCGCATATCGGAAATTTGACTCGATTTCAATACTTTCCTTACAGGGTATAGGTAGGAAAATAAAAAAGCGCTTCCTCGGAAACAAAAAAAAATTTTTTGATAAGGTGTATTTCACATTGCAATGCCTCTAAAGTGGAAAGCCTTAGTAAATTTTTAATTAAAAAACATTTAATTTTTAAGTTAAAAGAATCATTCCTATGATCTTATTTATTCTTTATGGTAACAACAGGGTAGTAATATTAATTGTTACTTTGGTTATTAGGAAAGTCCCGGCATCTGATAAAATTATAGCAACGAAATAAGAATTAGTTAGGTCAACAAGGATAAATTGAACGATGGTAAGTGACGCGAAAAGCCATTATAGGACCCTGGGCCTCCTCCAAAAGTCTCTGCCATTTAGCATTTGGCAAGACTTTCATGAAACACATTTCCTGTATAAGAAGAATTTAATATAGGCTTCAAATAGCTACATAAAATACATTTTAAAAAATTGTTTCGTAGCCATAATGTCTGTGATTTTTTTTTTTTTTATAGATTGACTGATTTTTGGGGAAAAAATCAAACAAAAATTATCGTAGACAATTGAAACGTGATAAAAATAGGTTATTAATACTAGGTCAATAATTATTATCGAAGATTTATAATCGAAATATTATTTATTGTACAACAAATATTTTTTTTAATCTACCCTAATACTTGTAATATCATACGAGGTACGAGTAAATAACAACGAAATGAAATTTTTTGAACACTCCATTTCAAGTTGAGGTTATTAGCTATTAGTAGATGGATTGCTATTTTCCTTTAACCTGAAATATTGACGTTAGACAGCATGAACTGAAATATTAACATTTTCTTGGCTTTGGGGCAGTTTCTATTCTTGATAAATTGTTTCTATTCTTCTCAATTGTTCTCTGGCGTTAAGAAATTTTTTTCTAGAAAATTCTGTATGATTTTTATTTATTTCTAATTATGTCAGATCCCCAAGAAGACACATTTATCAAATATATAGTGCAAGCAATAACTATCAATATTTATTACATTAGTATCCATTTTACATAATGGAGGATTGAATAAACAGATTCGGATTAATTGACGTTATGGAAGCCACAGGTTAAATTGCAAGATTTTAATTTCGCATTTTTTTGCTTCCTTATACATAGTGTTGCCCAAAACGAGACCGAGTCAGTCTTGGTCTTGGTCTTGCGCAAGAGCATCGAAGGTCAATCTTGCATTCTTGCAAGGTCTGGTCTTGGACTTGGTCTTGCATCAAATAAGACCAAGACCGATTTTGGGCAACACTGGTGGAGATATCTTTGACCATAGACGCAACTCAAAGAAAAGTCGTTTTTTAGCAGTCAAGAAAACACACAGTAAATATAAACATTTTAAATATTTGCCGACCTTATGGCCAGAGTTACAGGCCTACATCTTTTGAACAGAAATTCTGAAAATTTTAACCTGATTGAGATCAGCAACATAGGCCAAAATCTTGCCACATATTAAAATAAGTATACACAAACAGTGTGTTTTGTTTAAAGGTGTATTATATCTCAAGTTCTACTCGACTTTCAAAAAGGATTGGTGAGTATCACTATTAATATGAACTTTATGAACTTGTTGGGCCCTACGAATAACTTTCACGGATTACTAGTCAGTGAACAATTGGTAATATAAACCTTTAAGTACATATGTTTGTATAGTTTTATTGGTTAAAGTTTAAGCATATACGTTAGATCCACACATGAGATTCATAAAACCATGTATTATTATTTTAGGTATTTAGAGGTTATAAACAACGCTGCTGTCATCTTAGTTTTATATTTTGGATGTTCGTTAATGTGTTTTTCAATAAATTTGATAGAAAGAAATTTTTATTTGTACTATATATTCATTACATGCATACATATTTTATTTTTGTGAGTAAAACTTACTAATACGAGAAAATTATACCGAAAATCAGAACAAATTTACATTAATTATAAACTAAAATTTTTTTTGTTAAATTTATACGTGTAGGGTATGGACAGAGGAGTGAGTGTATCTGGGGCCGGGGTGGCCGAGCGAGCTAACGTGTGTGCAACGGCACCGCCGTACATTGGGATAAGTAAGGGAAAACTCACATCTATTTGGATCTGTCTAAATTTTTTAATTTTCAGAACTCCAAAAACTATATAAACTGTTTCATTGATACGTTGAGTTGTTAAATATTCAGCTTGCAGAGGATTCCAAGCGGAAAAGTAAGAAATAAAGAAGGGGTTGAACTAGATTTTCGGTATGACATTAACAAAATAAGAATGATGTTGAATGTTGAATGTTGAATGAGAATGGAAAAAACGCGTTGGCCCATTTGGATGCTTTAAAGTAATGTTTAGAGAAAATAAATGGAAGACTTAGGATGCTTTGGATATAAAATGTCAAGGAGGATATGACAACAAGAAAAGAGATAGAACAGGTGAGTTGTTCATTTCCAATGCGAACAATAATAATTTTTTACAATTTTTCAGAAAACACGAAGAACTATATTTCCTATACTAATTACAATATCAAAACCAATACTAAAAAATCTGGTGCGCGCAACACACAATTTGCACTTACCGATCTACTTTGAATAGAAATTATTTTCTGGCAATGCTGGGCTATTATAAAAATTTTTGAAGTGTATTTTAAACGGAGCTAAAGTTTAAAGATTACAGATAACAAGTCATTATAATTACAAAATGTCTACTTAATATATCGACGAAAGGCAATAAAAATCTAGTCACTCCATCTGCTTTTATAAACCACACAACTTTCTTTGCTTTTATAAACCACAGAATGACTCCAACTCTAATTTCAACATTTTTGAGCGGTGTATTTGAGTCATGTATATGAGTGGGGTAGGTATTGGGGTAGGATTACCACTACATACTATAGAGATATTACTGTTGGAATGGGGAAATATTACTAAACCCCGATGAAAAATAGGAAGATTTGAATGCAAAAATATATTGATTCTATCATTTCTTAACAATTCTAATAAAAGGCAGAGCGCGCCCGAAGGTACTAAATACTAAAACTTTCTTGTATTGACAACCATTTTTCATTCATTTTTATCCATATAAACTTTTTTTTAAATGTTTAATTTTTTCTTATTATTTGGAGAGCTATACTCGAATATACAATTTCACAAGAAAAACAACGCTGTTTAGATTTCAGGTAGGGTTAAAATGTTAAAGCACCATACTATATCTCAAAACAGTCTCAGTTTGACTTTGCTGCAAGACCGTAAGTCTCGCAGGTCAGTCTTGTTCTCGCACAAGTCTTGCCGGGTCCGGTGTCGGTCTTGGTCTTGCAACAATTTAAGCTGTCTTGGTCTTGCAATTTTTCAAGTTCGCGAGACCAAGACCGATTTTTGGCAGCACTTACTTATACAGTTATGACGGTGCTCTAAAAAAGTAATATGTTAAGATATTTTGATCAGATACTATTTTTCCCCTCTCAGGATGTAGCCATGTCGTGAAAAACATGATGGTTCTAAAAGAACGATTTCTGAAACAATGAATTTTTATTATAAGTTAACAAAAGTTGGTAACATATTGGATAAGAGAGTTGCTGAGAAAACTGTTATAACAGATCTTTCTTCACACGAACTTGAGGAGGCAACAGTACAACTTTCTCATGTTACCTTGCTATTGGCAAAAATATAAGCTAAGTGTAGAGGGGAAACAGAAATTCCTCAGATCCCGAAAAGAAATGGCGGTTGAACTAAAACTATGCATTGTTTAGAAAGTGTAATTGTAACGCCAATAATTGCTATAATACATCTGTTGGTATGTATGTGCAGCTATTTCCAACACGAACAGTAGAATGTCCAGGTGGCTTCGAATAAACTTGATGTGCTAAATGGGGCTTAGCAAGTTATTCAAGAATCGTTTGAAAATGTTAACATATTTAAAAATAAAGATTTTAAGGTCACTTGACATTCTTTCCATTCCAGTTCAGAACCTGCTAAATACGCGAAACATCATAAAAGCGAATATTGAGGCCAGTCGCGTCGCCATCTTCACAAGCTGGAACTTGCAATAACGTTTCTTATTACAAATTCCTGGATAACAGCTTCATTCCAGACGATAGTATCCATTAAGTTAAGGAATCGAAGTACTCATTTCAACGAGGGTCATTTGCATGTTTAAAAACATGACGAAACATTGCAGCCTAACCATTGCTTTTGGTCTGCAGAGGTAAATATTTCTAGTAACCGCCAACAAAGAGCGATATCCAAAAAATAATAACATAATAATAGGTAATTCTATGTGTAATACCTTATTTATTTAATTATGTACAAATGGTCCTCAATGATCAATAATTTTGAAGGAACATAATACACCGACAAAAGTAAATTATATCGTATATATAGTTGTTATATACAAGCGGGTCACAAAATATAAACTGTTTTCTTTTATTCACAATATTAACTCCTTGTGGTAATCCCTCAATTTTTTTTCCTATTGAGATTAAAATTAACTTACTCTATTGGTACAAAGAAAGATTTTGAAAAAATGGCAATCAATTTCCTAATTTTAATCAAACTTTGTTCTTTTGAATTATTGAATCATTGTGAATTTAAGGATTTGATGCATGCCTTGGGCCGATATAGTACAATTTTAGAGTTTTCCTTATGAACACCAACTGCTCCCCAATATACTTTTTCCTTCCTGAACACTGATTAAATTCCTTCTGAAATGTCAATTTAGTAAGCGTCTAAGAGAGAGTTGGCGTATGAGAATTTTTGGCATTATATTAAGTTATTTAAAGGCAGAGCGAAATATAATACGACAAGGAAAAACAGCATTTTAAGTCAGTAACCGTTGCCACGTTAAGAGAGGCATGCCTCCAATATGTCAGGAGCTAGTCTCATAAATTAACCTAAAATATAGTTTTAGTCTGTTATAAATTGAAGTTGCAAGAGTACGTTGGAGTTTATTATGTTAGGCTATGTAATGAAGGGAGATATATGAATTTCAGAATTTTAAAGAATGCTGCCTGATGAAGGATTGCACGGAATAGACGCGAATCACATAGAAAACCTTGAATTTAAATTGAGACGCTTCTTGTTGAAGGGCAATATTAAAATGCGTATATTTATTTGAGATTTGAACAGTTGATTATTTTCAGACAAGAATAAAAGTTCACGAATTCGTAGTTCACTTTAGGAGATTCCTTACTTTCGCCTGCTTTCTTCGTGTTAGAGAATGTTCATTTTCCTTCGTCTGTTTTATTTTGTATAAAATCGTTTTTTTTTTCAGAGCTTTTAATTAATTATTGATGACTAAGAATCGTTTTTAGAGAACTATTGAAATATATTTTTCAGGTGTAATATAGATATTATAAATACTTATAATCACATAACTTTTTTTTTTAAATTTGCTATATTAAATTTTTTTAAAGAAAAAAATTATTACAGCTGTATCTATAAAATCCAATCTTCATAATAAACGTAAGAATCATTATGAACATAATAATGAAAATAATCAAAGGATAATATGTACTGGAATAGAAATATTTGTGGGTCTACAATATAATATATTGTCAGTTGATTTTTATTAATTTTATTATTAACTCCGTATCATTATAGTTTTTATAAAGATGATTACAAAGTGTTTTTTTTTTCTACAAATTCTCTTATCGTATGCGTACCTGTTGACTTGTTGATCAAGTCTTTTCCATCGTTAATTAGAATTTCATTCGTATATAATTGCAACTTTTTTTTTTTCTTTTTTTTTATGCGCATGCCTTTTTTTATGCCAGTTCCATAACTAGAAGTTATGAACACCGTAATCAAGGCAAATTATTTATACTATTACAATTAAACGTATATACATACATACATATGTGTCTGTGTGTGTATTTGAAAATAAGCATATTTTTAATAAAAATGTAGTAAATTAATATTACTGATTGGGTAAGGGTGTTTGAAGACTTAACGTATGATTTCCATATATTGTTTCTCTTAGGAATGTAAATATGGAAGATAATACAATTTCCCATCATTTAAAAAATAAAAACCCATTTAAAAAAATAGTGAGAAGGTTAGGATCGAAGGATTCTTAGTGGTACCATAATATATTAAGATTTATATTATTTTTAATCGTTAGCAACTATTGAATGTGGTCTATATTTAATATAAGTTCAAATCTCTCTATCTTATCCACAATTCAGAACTCTAATAATAGCAGTAAATACAATAAGTATTTAAAATTAAAAAAATGTTCAAGGGTCGACAAATGTCATCAACGAAAGAGTGAAACATGAATTAAATATTATTTGAGTTAAGTTAAGGATGAATATTTATAAAATAGCGTTTTTTTTTTGTTTTGTTTTGTACAATACTACCAAAATCGACATTTTTAGTATAAATAAAATATGTTATTTTGTAAAGTTCAAAATTTAGTCTACCAAAATAAATAATTTTCTTGTTTTAAACCAAAAAACTAAGTATTGCAAGTTTCATTATAGGTATTCTTAAGTTGTTGCACTATGACATTATTTACTAGTATTTCATTTAATTTATATTTATTAAAAAAAATAAAAATATTTATTTCAAATCCAACAAAGATTATTTAAAATTAAATCTATCATGATTTTTTGTTTAAACGCTAAAAATACATGCAGTCCTTTGAATAATTTATTTGTGTACTGCACATTTCGCAAGTCCAGAATATCAAGTTACTTAATTTATCAATTTTACACAAACAATGGACTATAGGATCTAAGCTCATTCTCCCCCTACATCCAATGCATCTATGATAACTTTAAAACTAAAAACTATAAATGTTAAGGTTTAAATAATAAACATACACGATAATATTTGAACAATTTTATTTAATATTTATTACATTTTTATATCAAAGATCCATTAACTAGTTATAAAATATTAATTATAATTACAACTCAGAAAACTTGTCTAAATCAAACAACAAGCAATGTTTCACAAAGTAGAAATCGAAACATTAAACCAACTGTGTAGAATTAATATGTTTTATAGTTATAACGAAAATCGTTTTTGATAACAATATATATAAAAAAAATATATTCGACTTCCAGGCAACGCAATGGAATTGAAAACAATAATTAAAAAAACAACAACTAAAATTTAGTTTAATAACTCATGGTAGTAAAACACACGCCTAATACAACCATACGATGTCAGCTACCTCACGAGGCATCTGTTAAATGACGATTTAAGTCAGTCACTAGGAACATCGAGCACTTTATTTACAATATTCTAATAATGATAGGCTCTTTGGCAAAATGGCTAACCTAGACATGGATAAGTATTGTTTTAAATGAAGTCACGTGAAACTTATAATTTATATTATTGATCGATCATAATATTTTTCATTTAATAAACGAAATATTGAAAAGAAAATGGAAGACTGGGTGAATGAACTCTATTGTCATAAAAGAGGAAGAGTTTATTTTAGAATACGCCTGACACTTAATAGTACAGTTTGCCAAAGAGTTGGTCCCTAATAAATCTCACCATTATCTATGGCACTCGATTCAATATACAATTAATCCGATCACAGCCAAGAGTTTTAAAGCTAACATGAAGGTAACGATCTAAAGGTATACCTAAAGTAAATTATTGGTTAGTACAAAAAAAAAAATTGTTAAGGCTGCAGAGTGCGAGGTTCATATAATAAGCTGTTTCATATTAACATTACCTAAAATGCAGAATATACTGAAAATAATTATACAAAATAAAAAATATTTAAAGTTTAAGAAAATTCTTTATCACAGCACTTTCTCTATTAGGTTTCGATTATACTTTTTAGAGGTGCATCAACCATTTCACATTTATAAGACGAAAACCAATGAGTAGCGATTTTCGGTAATTTCAAGGCACTGAATACATGTTTAGGTTGGAAGTGATGAAGACCTTTTTCGTCTAAGACGACGTAGGGAACAGAACCGGTCAGTACTGAGTGGGCAGCTTCTCTCGGTATGACAGCTTGGATCCCGTTTTTGATGATTACTAAGATACTGTAGATCCGTTTAGTACGAGTCAAGAATTCTTCCATCGCTAGAGAGTTTTGCGAAAAGAATAAGGAAGTTGGTACACTCTTTGATGATATCCCGTCTTCAGGAACTACCAGGAGTGCACCACTCTCCCGTACCAACTGTCTCAGGGACGGATCACTCCTTGCACCGTAGGGGTCCATATGGAGCTTCTTTAGAGCAGCTATCAATTCGGGCTTACGTGCAGCAAGTTGCCTCATTACTGTAAGCCTTCGAAGAATTTCCAAAGTTAACCGATCTCCTGCCAGAATATCAGTACATTTTGGATTCGAAAGTATTCCTAAAAGAGCTACAGCTGTGTCATGCATATCGAGCGCTTTTGCCAATCCCACAGCTTCTAATATAAGAGATTTTAAATTTAGGTTTTCCGTATCTTTAAGAAGATCTACTATATTCATTTCAGAAGCTTCGCGAACAGCCGAAACTATAATTTTGTGTAAAATATCCACTACTTCCCTCTCCGTCCCTAATGATTCAATACTGTCCGATAATCTTTCCATTATTAATGGAACTATTTCAGGAGATGTTTCCGATAATTTTTGTAACGCACAACAAACAGTGCCTTCTTCATCTTTTAAAATAATATTTAATTTGTCTATGACTTCTAATGGTTTTGAATGACAGTTGAGTAGTTCCTTGAGAATATTTAACTTGTTTAGTCTTTTTAATGGCGATTCTTTAGAAGTTATATACGAATGGAGCTTATCTACGCTTTGTAACATATTCGAGGAAAATTCTTTCTCAATAATATTTGATATTAATTTGTAAGCCTCTTCGTCGTTTTTGCAATGAACTACTCTTTCTAAGATTCTATTTAATGTGTTGCATTCCTCAGAGGATCCTGGAATTTCTCCTAGTTTACCCAGCTGAACTACAGCAACAATTATCTGGCTTATTTTCAGAGTGGTCACTGGGTCTAGAGCAAGTTTTTTAGAAAGAACACAAGCTGCTGACATTGCTGGGGCAGTTTTGACATCGACAGCAGGTACTTCGATGCTCACTTGTCTACCTATCCCCATACCTGCCTCAGAAAGTTGGCGTAACATTTTCGAGTCAATTGACATTTCCCACGATTTCACTGATGGGACACATGATCTAGGCTGAAGAAGCCCAAGCTCTTCTGGACTTATCTCGAATCCTTGAACAGTAAATTCACGATCTTCCTCGCTGTCACCAATAAGATCCGGAGCGATGAATTTCAGGCCATCATTCGTTTCTACAACTTGACCTGGTACAAAAGTGACGTGATCACCAGCTTCAACAACTCTTCCGGGAACGAATCTCGGTCCCTCTGACGTCTCTACTACTTCACCAGGAACGAATTTCGAACCTCCCTCTTCTGTATAAATTACTTGTCCCGGAATAAAAGTTGGACCGGATTTAGTTTCCACGATCTGTCCGGGTACAAATTTAGGTCCGTCAGCTGTCTGCACTGTTTGCCCAGGAACAAATTTTGAAATACCTTTACACTGTATTATTTGGCCTGGTACGAATTTTGGACCTTCTGAGGTTTCAATTACTTGTCCCGGGATGAATTCTTTTCCTGAATCAGTCATAACAACTTGGCCTGGTACGAATACACCATCGATAATAAGACCTGGCACAAATTTGACTTCTTCTCCTCTAGTGAGTTTTCCTGGCACCACTTTTCCAGCCGGAAGCCCGACCGCTGAACCAGGAAAAAATTCAACACCAAGCTTAGATTGCACCATATGGCCAAAAACTCCTTCCGAAAAAACTTGAGTACTTTTTTCGATATATTTAGTATTTTGAAACAGTATTTCGTCTGTATTTTTAGCTGATACAAATTCTATTTCACCATCTAAAATTTCAGTTCTTCCTGGAACGAATTTCTGACCTGAATCTGTTGTTACAATTTGACCTTGTACAAACTTAGAACCGTCTTTGGTTTCAACTGTCATGCCAGGTACGAATTTCAAAATATCTTCTTCAACTGTTTTGCCAGGTACAAAAATGGACTTACCATTTTCTATTACGAATTGGCCTGGCATGAAGCCTTCTAACGTCTCTCTCCCAGGCACAAATTTTTTCCCTTCCTCAGTAACAACTGTTTTTCCAGGCATGAACTCCCATCCCTTTTCAGTCCAAATACTCTGGCCCGGAACAAAGCTTTTTTTACCATCAACTATTACGTATTGTCCTGGAATGAATTCCGTACCCTCCGAGGTTGTCGTAGTTAAGCCTGGTAAAAATCTATCATCTGCAGTTATCTGGCCGGCTACAAATCGCAATTCATTTTTAGAGTACACAGTTTGTCCTGGAACGAACTTTGTTCCTTCGGGTGTGGACATAAATTGACCTTGGACAAACTTTTCACCCGCGTTAGTAAGTGTTGTCGTACCAGTAAGAAACACCTTTTTCCCTTCAACAACAAATATCTCTCCTGGAACAATTTTACATTCTTGTTCGGATTCTATTACAAAACCAGGAACGAAACTGTGTCCACAGGGGGTGAGAATCGTTTGCCCAGGAACAAATAATTTTCCGTCTTCCGTTACCAATTCTTGACCTACGACTATTCGCTTCTTACCGTCAATATCTATAACAACACCCTCTACAGTCTCTCCACCATTTTCGAATAATGTAATCGAACCTTTATCGAGCAAGGGGGTGATCTGCGATATCTCTTCTAGGCGTGGGAGCAAATCTTTGTCCAAAAGGATTTCGGGTTTCATCGTTTTTGCAAGTTCTTCATTAGACAAAGATTTCAATCGTTCTTGAACAACTGAATCTGGTTCAATAATTAAAGGCTTAAAAGGAGCAACGACCGAAGCAGGTTCCAAGCCAATATACGATTCAGTCATGTAAGGCTGTTGTATCAGTCCTGGCTTAGATTGGCTCAAATCCAAACTGATAGGAGCAACAGAAACCGGCGTCGGTAATCTCGTGATAACAGGTGAAGCTCCAGTTTCTTCAAACTGATCCCACACCCAAGATTCAAACGATACTGTAGGAATTTTTACTTTTGATATCTCAGCTCGTTTCCAGCTCCTCATTTCTTTTTTGGGTTTCTTTTGAACTACAGGTTCATCGACTATTTCTTTGTCCTCAAAAATCTTTCTTATACGTCCGGTAGTTGTATTGTCCTTACGAATAGCTACTCCTTCCCCTTCATATAGGTCACAAGAAAGATCTTCAACATCGATCTCTTTCATTTCAAGAGAAACATCACCTTGCTTCAACTTCAAAAGAACGGTATCGTTGTCTTTAGCCAGCATCACGTCACGAACATCTCCATCTCTAACTGCAGCCTCTAATTCAGCGGTAAAAACTAAACTACATTTCTTTTCCTTCACAGTGTAAACGTATTGAGCATTTTTACCATTTTTAGTTTTAGTTTCTAAGATTTCTTGGAGATTAGGGGCATCTTGGAGGCATGGGAAAAAGTACTTGTAGCCGTTGATGATGATGTGTGGCTTAGACTGTTTTCTGTTTCTGGGCTTACCGACAAGTACGGGGATATAATGATGGCTGGGCAGACCGTAAGCTTTTCCAGTAATGCGGCAGAATCGCTTGGCGTCCGCTGGTGATATAGGAGGCAGAAGTGGAAAGTAGTTGGGCTTGGGGAGGCCGCGGCTCTTGCCTGTGATCCTGCAGTAGGTGGCCATCCTACGGCGAACACTAGTGCACTGGCCCCTGGCACTGGCTCAACCCCCTACTACGACCCCCTTCCACTGCCCTATACAGCTATTAATAATGGAACGACCTACACACCTATGGACAATTACTCAGCATTACATTATATCAATTTACTATCCTTTAATTTACTAACTATCTATTTATCTAAACATAGATCAAAAATTATCTTCATCCTCATTAAAGGCTACTTATATGTACATTAGTTAATTAAGGACCATGATGAGAATTTCGTTTTAATTACGTTTAAATTAAACATAATAAACTACGTTGGTAAAGTTAACAATGAAGCTATTTTCAGTATTTTTTTAAATATAATATAAACTAAATATTAAGAATAAAATTATGGCGGGATTACATAAAGCTGACGCTAATCAGGCGTAGAAAATAAGGAAATTGACAAAAATAAAGAAGCCTAAATATATGATTAATCGAAAATTAAACATACGACTCATCTCTAATCTATTAATAAAGTATAGAACAACTGCTTCGTGCAATATTTCAAGTACAAAGATAGTTGACTGTGTAACTACAAGATAAACTGTGGTAGACTTTCTTACTTCAAGATGTATTGATTTAGTGAAAAAAAAAATTATGTGATTATTCTAAATCTTTCCTTCCTGAGGACCTTAATCAGGGCTTCAAATGAAAATTTGTATTCTTATTTTTAATCAGTTTCGGTATGTTTAATTTTAATCGGTTTTATGATATTTCACAACTAGAAATTTTTTCCTTGCAAAATTTTCAAGTAAAGAAAAATCTTTTAAAAAAAAAAAAAGTTTTATTTAAAATTTCTGTTGATTTCACCCAACGTTCCATCTAATAAATTGCTTTTATTCCTAGCTACTCAAACAAACTACACACTAGAATCAAATAATTCATTCAAGATATATTATAACTCAAATCTAAGCCTAACTACTGTATATTCCACATTTAAAATTACTTATTTTTAAGATCTTAAATCTATAAAAGTTAAACTTTTTTCTGTAAACCTAGAACTTTACCAGGACATTTTTTTCTGAAAAGTTTCCCTGAAACTGTTAAAATGGAACTTTTTAAAAAAGTTCCAGCTACTACAAGGATAGCGTTGCTATAAGGAGCTTGTGGTGGCCATCCATCCAAGCAAACGTAATCAGAAAGAAAATAATCTCTTTTTCTCCATGTACATATCCCATCATTCTCGCTTTCTTGATTGGACAATTACTCGCGAACGTTAAATTGTGTTTACATGTATCTATTAAATTAAGCCGCATTTGTATACACACTTTTGACAATTGAGCAGTGGACCTATTACCGGCAATGAGATTGGTCTCACTGGTGTCTGGGAAGTATAATATCGTTGCATAAGAACCATTTCTAATTGTAATCAGACAAGGAATAACTTGCCCGGAAGGAAGTGCCTGCCAAGTGAACACATTAATAGAACTTGTGAAGTAACGCTGGCGGGGCGACAAGACGAGGAGGTATTTGTTGTTGGGGTGAGTCACAACACGTGCTTTTGGGAGCGATTATTTATTCGAGAAAACATGTTTTCCCTCCCATGCAAGGTACCAGTTCCATTTATAGCAGTAATCGGTTACCGAAAAACAAGACGGGAAAGAGACCGGAACGGAAAATAGTACAATGGCGCTCAAAGGATGATAAGGAAGTCGCTCATAACAAAATATAAATTCTAGAAATAGTTTTTTTGAGATATTTATGCAGTGCCAGGGCTGAGTTACTTTATATAAAAACAGGCAGGTATATTTGTTTACTGCCAGCTCCAATGACATTGCCAAACATTCCAATTCTGAAGCTTGATATAAATAACTTTTGTAGAAAATCGACAAAGGTTTAATAACTGTCAGTTGAAGGCAAGGTCTGGGAAATATTATGCGGGACAGGATATAGTGTGTGAGCAGAGGATCATGTTCATCATAGAGAAGAGGTGTACTCTAAATATATAAATGGCCAAAATTAAAAGCAGAACAGAAATACTTCAATTTTTCTTTACTCATTTTTATTCACACGTATGACGTCTCTATTATTTAATAAAAACTAAAATGAAAAACTATCAAATTTCATTATTATCAACCTTAAATTAAAAAAAAGAAATTGTTTTCTGCTGCTAAAAAAATACATATTTACGATTTTTAACGTAAACTGGTTTTAAAAATGGACTATCCAAGACTGTGGTGTTTGACGAAGAAGGTTCATCAACAAACCGATAACCTCAATCACATTGGTTGATGTGGTTTAGCTGTCTAAACAATATAGCTAAGGGGAGATAACCAATAAGAGGCATCGAACAAAGAAAAGGAAAATATTTTTATATTAATAGAACATCCATCCAGGGTGGATGGACTATGTGTGAAAGAAAACATGAACTTTGATAAAACGGAAAAATGAAATGTAGGGTTATGAGTAGAGACTGGATTTTCATTTTGCTGCACATTTTATTCACTTGAGTGTAAAATCTTCAAAACCCGATCATTTATCCGTTTTACGATCTGTAGAATAATATATTGAAAACCTGTATTAATATATACAGCACGAAATTGCACGTTTTGTTCTTTTTGTACATTTTTGCATTTTTTTTTTTTTGAGCTGGATTAGATGATTTATAAATATATATGTTTCTTTAAATATATTTATCGTTATATTTTATTATCTTGTCCATATTAAATTTATAATTTAAGAAAACAAATAGGAGGAAGCGAAAGTTTTGTGACATGAAACGGTTCGAATTTAAGGTTAAAAAGAAATAAGTAAACACAGGTGGAGAATATTCTTGGAATAGAACTTGCTTGAAGTATTGGACAAGAATAAAAAAGTGCCTTCCGAGAATAAGGTGTTTTGTTATAAAGATTTTTTTGTTCTTATTTTGACTCGAATTCTCACAAGAGTCGAAGTATCCCTTTATGTCTGGCATTGAAGTAAATAATATAAATCTACTTTCGAGGAAAAAAAAATCGAAAATTCGGACCGTCAGTCTCAATTTCAATGTGGATTTTAAAGATCATTCAACTTCACATGGCCATGACGAGTTTAATCACAGTCGTTGGTGCCGTTTCTTGGAAAATTGTAAAAATGTGCCAATTCAATATTATAAAGATAAATTTCCGAGTTAATTTTAGCGAAAACGTTGCCGTGACATAGCAGAGATCTACCTTAAGTTTTTTTTTTTTTTTAATTTTAATTTTATTGAAATTTACAACTGTATTACATGGAAAATACAATATGTAAATGTGACATTGGTAACATGACATGTACAACATGAAGAGAAACTACCCATTGGTAGAACTCAAATTAAAGTTCTATATTAGAAGGTCCCGAGGCCATCTTCTTTTCAGACGCCTCGGAGGGTTATCAGGAATCGAGAAGGAAGCAAGGTTTGAAACGAGAGGATTCGGATGGATCTGCAGTTTGTTATGGAAGGATAGGTATCTGGATTGGGCCAAATCGGAAACATATGGAACATTAAGGTCTTTATGGATGATTTTATTTGTGACAAAGTAAGGAGCGTTGAGGATTTTACGAAGGATTTTGGATTGTAAGGATTGGATACGAGAGGAGTTCGATGGTTTAGTGGAGCCCCGAAGCTCAATTCCGTAAGTCCAAATAGGTCTTATTATTGTCATATATATGAGTCGGTTGTAATTTATTGAAAGCTTAGAGCGTTTGTCTAGTAAGTGCTGCAGTAGTCGAAAACGTCGGACGGTTTCTAGTTGTTTCAGTCTGGTATGGGGGTTACCTTAAAAACAAAACAAATTTGAGTGTCGAACGTATTTTTGTTACTGAGCTCACATACATACACAGACCTTTTCACGGTACTTGAAAAATGTATTTCCGTTGAAAACTCAGATTTGATTTTTGTTCGATCACAACACTTTCCCTCACTATATTTTTCATGTAAGGGGAAATTCAAAGTAAAACATTTCGTTTTTCCTTTACTTATTGTTTTGTTTATCCTTTACCTATACGATTATTTTATTTATTATTATAATTTTTTTTTAAGGGAGTCTCAAAGATATATCCGCCCTGGGCCCCTAATTAATTGTCTAGGCACGCTACTAGTTTTTTAATATATTATTATGCTAATGATTTAAATAATGTTTTTATTCATTTTATATATTAAGTAATTTTTGGTGGATCCTTCAAGAGATATCTGTTCAGATTTTTGATAAAAATTTATCTATATATCTGTTCAAGGCTAGCTTACAGAAGTGGTCTTCTTCTATATTCCCTGGTTTATTGCCATTTGGGTCATTTTAGGAACCTCTTTTGAGAGTTTTGCGTCAGTTTTTCTTTATATAGAATTGTAATAAGATCATGGGAAAATAAGGTCCGACAATATTGATATTCCCATAGTAAAAATCAGTTAATCACAGGAATAATATTTAAATCCAACTCATCGAAGAGAGAGAATGCTGATATTCTTCTGCTTAGAAAATATGTAATGAGCCAAAAATATTTTTAAAAAATAAATTAAATAAAAATAACAAAGAGACTAATCTCTGTACTATTTCTAGTACAAATTAAAAATATCATTTCGTTTGAGGTGAAGATATAATGAAATTATATTTTTTGAGCATTTAGAAATTCGTCATTGGTGAACAGTATAATAATCAACCTATCTTTATTCATGAAAAATACATTTATATTTTTACGGTTTAAATAATAATGGATATGTAAGCTATGGAAATGTTACAACGCGTAATGCTTTTAATAGTTTTCTTTAAATAATACTAAGAGAAATATAAGAATGGAGAGATTGATTAAACTATTACCTTGCGAAATCAATCGTTTAATATTGTTTTGTCCATTTAATTGTAAATATATTTGTTGTTTGATTTTCCCTGATTACTAGACAAACAATTATTTTATTAATCTTTTGATAGATAAGTATCAATTTAAATTAAAGAAACACAAATAAAGTATGAATTAAATTAATGTAGTTTAAATCTAGATATAGCTCGAATCTAGATCAAGGAAT